TTAGGGTTTACTATTAAAAGGGAAGTATAAAAGATTTAATAGTTAAAGTAGATTATTATTATTATATTAATAATAATATAACGTTATTAAATTATAAAAAATATTAAAAACTATAGGAAAAAAGATTTTAAGGAGCATTTAATATATAAACTAACTATCTTTATACTTTTAAATAAGGTAAAAATTAAATGAAATATATTAATATTAAACGGGATAAGTAGGCGTAACTATAGTATAAATAAAAAGCTAATCCTCCTTTTTAATTCCCTTACCTGCTTTATTAATCCTAACTATTAATAAAGAACATGCTTAATTAAAAAATACTTTATTATATTTAGCTTAAGATATAAAATAGGTTTATAAATTCTTTATACCTTTATTAATTATATAACTGTTAAAATAAAAAGGGGACTAAGGGGGGGAAGGTAATCTTTATAAAATATTATATTGCAATAAATTATAACCTTAATTTACTACTATATAATTTACAATATTCCCGGAGGTTACTTAAACTAGTTTAGCTATTATAACTTAGGTACATTATCTCCCTTTTTTATAATACCTTCCTATACCCTTTTATATAAGCTTACTGCTAAAATTACCCTTCCCTGCCTTATTCCCAATATTATTAACAATAAAGTAATATTTTACTAAGCTATCTTATATAACTATTATTTCTACCTATAGCTTCTTCCTAGGTTTATATTTACTTTGCTATTGTTTAAATAAAAGTAGAATTACTATTATGCTAAGGGTTAAAACCTTTCGTTAATGCCTTAACTTCCTGTAAAGTGATTCGTAAGCTACTAGCAGCGTTAAAAAGACTACGTCATTTTGGAAGCTGCCTTACTCCCTAGCCTATTTTACTATTCTTATTATATTAACCATTCTCCTTTTCCTCTCCGGAATTTGTTTTAATTGGACTACCTTATTAAGGCCCTATTATTATTAGCTTAATTTTATTATTCCCGTCCCCTACAGTTTAAATTACTATGCGTAGATTAGAAATAAAGAATAGATAAATTAAAATATTAGTTAGCCTCTTTTGTAACTAGTTTCCTATATGCCCTACTGTAGCTACATTAATAATTGGCTTAACCACGGTTAATAAGGCATTTATCCTATACAAAGGTATTTCGGAAGAGTTATACTAGGAAGGACGCCTCTTAATATTTTTGCATTAATGCTATTAATACCTACAGTATTTTTATAACTAGTTAAAATAGGCAGGCCTTATAATTATACCCAAAATCCACTAAATAGATATAAAGTTAGCCTTATAAGCAAAAAGAGGGAATAAATATAATAAATGGAATAAAGAAGCAAAGGAAAGCTAAGGTTAAATATAAAAACCTTTTTATAATATTATATTATATAGGAAAGTTAAATGGATTATAATCATTTAATATAAATAAAGCTTAAAGTTAAATTAAAGTTATAATTAAAATAAATAGGCGGGAAGGTTAAAAGGTTTCCAATAGCGAATAGTAAAAGTAAAGCTTAGAAACAAGCTGCAATAAGTATATACGCTATAAAGCAATGTATAATTTAAAGATAATAAAATAAGCAAGACTATAAGGTCGGGAGTGCATTAAATTTAACAAAATAAGTAAAGCGCGGCCAATATAGCTAGCGCAATGAAGAGGTAGGGAACAAGCAATAATGGAGAAGTCGAAAGTATAAAAGAGGGACATCAGAAATAAGAGCTCTATTTATACTATAACGTGCTAACGTAGGGTAGAGCGGCGCAGTCTAGCGCGGCGCCATGCCAGATCGGGATAGCCGCTAAACCCTACGGGTATAGCAACGTATCCACAATTATATTTTAAAAGATTAATATTTACTTTAATAGCATTTGTTTTATTAACTTTTAAATAATTTTATAACCTTATTATATTTAAATAGCTATTAAAGTTTATTAAATTTATTAAAAAAGTAATAAAGGATAACTTAAAATATTATTTATAAAAGGATAAACCCTTTAAAAATATAAAACTTATAAATAATCTTTTATATAAAAAAAAACATTTATAAATATTTATAACTATATAATAAAAAATAATAAAAATTAAATATAATATTTAAATAATAAAATATATAAGGATAAATAAAATATTAAAACTTATTATAAAGAACTTTTAATAATTTAATCTTAAAGTAATAGTATATAACTTTATATAAAGCTATTATACCTATTAATAAAATAAAGCTTTATAATATACTTTTTATAAATTATTTTAACCTATAAAACTATATTATACCTTTTAATAATTAATTATAATAAACTTTATTATTAATTTACTTTTATTTAATAAATATAATTCTATTTAAATAATAGTAAATCCCTTTATAAAAATAGAATATTTTATTTTATTAAAGGTTAAAAAAAAGAAAATTAAAGATCTTATTAAAATCTTTATAAAACATTATTAAAAATTATATAATATTCCCCTTAATATAATTTTTAATAAAAACTTTAGGTTTATAAACTATTTATAAAAGAACTTCTTAAAATTTATTAATATTAAACTATATATAAATATAGCCTTCTACTCCTAAATTAATAATTAAATAAAATAACTTTATTAGATTTTTAAAATCTACCTTTAAATATTTATTAATTATAAAATATCCAATTAAGAAAACTTCTTATTAACTATTAAATTTATATATAATAATATAGCATTAACTTTAATATATATATCCCCTTTTTATATTAATTATAATTATTACTTAATTATATATAATCTATTTATAATATAACCTTATAATTTATTTAATAAGCTATATACCTATTAAATAATATAAATATATAAATAAGTTAAAGATTAATTAAAAAAAGCTTAATAATATATAAAAAAATAAATAAATAAAAAATATAAGAATACCTTTTAATATATTAAAAATTAATTAATAATATTAAATATAAAAAATATTAAAATAAAAAGATCTATTAAAAAGTTAAATAAAAAAATACTTAATTCTTTTAAAATTTATAAAGTAATTTTACTTATTACTATTAAATTTATATTACTTAAAGGATAAAAAATCTATAACTTATTTTATATTTTATTTATTAAACTTTATTATATTAATAATTAAATATTACTTAACTTTAATTAAGTTTTATAAAAAGTACTTTTAATAAAATTTAAAGATTATTAAATAAAAAAGATTAAAAATTCCTTAAAAATTTAAAGGAATATTAAATATTTAATCAAATGGGAAGGTTAACCAGTTAAAAAGTATTAAATTTAGGAACTATATAAATATATAAACGGTATTAATATAAAAATTCTTGTTAAGCAATTCTATTAGCAAAACCCAAATAAACCGGCGAACCCTTAAACTATTACAACCCCAAACTCACTATCCACCTAAGGAGTTAAGTTATACTTAAAGTTAAGCATTAAAAGAAAGGAAATAATATTATACAGCTAAGACTTTAAAACTAAAGATAACTAATACTACCCCTAGTAGGAAGTAAAGCTATAAACAATTAAATAAGAACAATCTATTAGCTATAAAAGGACCAACAGTTAATGTATAAATGCCCAACAGAAGGAAGGGGGTTATAAATTATATAAGGTCTGAATGAGCATAAATAGCTAAAGAATCTCCCATTCCAGGACAGGAGAGAAGGAGAGATCAAGGCCCTAGAGACCCCTAGTAGATTATTAATGAATATGACTAAGTTCCAAGCCCTCTATAAGAGCCCTTGTCACACCACATTTGCCTTCGTGCAAGACTCCCGTGCCGCCAGTCACAGCTCAACCACGGTAAATCACGTTTTCGTACCCTCGGCACCATCTATCTCTGCTTTGCACACACAGATCTCATTATGTTGAGGTCCTTGACATAGTCTACCAACGTTGGCTATCAAGTTTGTCCGTCCAGTTCATTCAGTTAGTCTCTATCGCTGTTCAACCATCGACTGCCTTCTGGCCTTGATCGCCCATACTCTTTTTTTCGATTACACAAGCCGTAGTACCTGATTCCTCTTGCATCATCTTCTTCAACAACCTGGATATCTCGAAAATCTCCTGGCTCTGCTTGCTGGGGTAAGTGTAACACTCTTACTTATCCAGATCCACCTAGGCTGGGTTTTCATCCCGAGCTAATATCAGAACTGGAATGAAATAGAAACTTCGAGATGTCAACCACCAGCAATGCCGAAAGTGCTCTGAGCAGTGCAGTCTTGTGCTCCCGAGAGACAGCGATGAACGCGGCTAAGGAAGCCATTCGCAAGCATGGCACAGAAAAAATAGTTGCAACAACGTTCCGGCTCCTCTGCGAGTCGCCCGCTAAGGACCTCAAAGACAGATTGGTAAAGGAGTTACACGATATTGCAATGGCCATAGAAGAAGAAATGGCGAACATAGACCGAACATTCGACCAACTGCCACCCCCAGCGCCTGTCAAGGCCGAGGATTCTGCAGCGACGCAAGAGTCCTGAACAGCCTGAGGGTTCAGAACTGGAAATCCCACGCCCAGAGGCCCCGCGCAAGCGAGGGAGACCGCGGAAGATCGCAACAGTTCCCACCGAGACTCCAGCCTAATCGATCCTTATCCCCGATGAGCCGACACCGCTACCAGTCGAGGCAGTCCGGCCTCAATCAGTCCATCCTTATCTCTCTTAAGTCGGCGCCGCACTACTGGTTCTTCATCTTCCTCTTCATAGTTCTTCATTGTCGCTACTCTCAGCAGCACTTTCCATTTCAGTATCACTTTCAGTCTCGGTGGCATTCCTTGTCTTAGTATCTTGACTGCCTTGAAAGAGAGAAAGAGGGTTCAAATCCGGTTTGACGATCTTACAGCTTGTGTAGTATGCATATGCATCGATGCAGACCTTGTACCCGCAACTCATACGACCTGGAAGACGGGGAGGTTTGAATGGTGAGCTCAATATGGTAGGCTAGGGTACGTGGTGAGATGAGCCAAAGGGGAGGGGAGACAGAGACCTCGCACAGATGCCTAAGATGGACATGCATATTCTATTTGGTCGCATGGCAGATATACTATGGTAATTGTAGACTATCATGGTTGTTACAGCACAAGTCGATAGAAAACATACCTCGGAGCCATGGTCTCTTAGCATCCCAAACAAGTAAGACTTGTCCAATCTAAGCGCTATTATTCTATGGGCTCTTGAGCTCTTGATCCCGAATGTGACACGAGCGAGGAATCGCGGGTTATCTCAGACATCCTCGTCCGCACGAATGAATCGCTGCCGTCTTCAGCAAATAAGTATATTCTTTCCTGCATAATAGTTTTGGTTTCAGGTCTTAGAATATCCTCATTGTGCATTTTCTTCGCGGTCGCTTGTTTCGTGCCAAACGATCTCCATGACCGGCCCACGAGAAAGTGAGAACTTTCAACCAGCCAGCTGTGGATAGCGTCTATGATGGTGGATCCGTACCCCTTGCTGAGGTTTTTTATTTCTTTCACATATGGCGAGGGCATTATGAGTTCAAGGAAGCGATCGCAGACGATCGAGCCTGTGTGGCAGTTTCAGCCTGAGGGGTTGGAGGCTGAGTTTAAATAGTGGCCCGACTTTCTTCGAGTTGAGGGCCAAGTTCGCTGTGAGAACAACGACTTGGTCTATTGAGCGAAAATGATCGCTCATGGCCGCATTCCAAGCCTCCGGCCGTGACTTCTCTGGAAAGTTCTGACATCTTGCAGATGGTGGACTTTACGGAGTACGCTGCAGCGGCGCTGAAGCTTGTGCGACATCATGGGAAGCTGACGCCGACCCAATGTGCCAATATTTTGATGGGAAGGAAGACGAAATTTGGTCAGAAAGGTCTCGAAATGTGCCATGGTAGACTAGCTGCCGAGGATGCATTGAAGGAAGAAAATATTATTTATCGTAGCAGTGGAATAGCTATACAGTATCTTCGGGTATGATTACACTCTTACTTTTTTTTTAATATCTTCACTGACGATACGCATAGCTTGGCCCTAAAGCTCATTCGTTCCTTTCCGGTGAGTGCGGACTCGCGCTAGCTACGATAAGCAAGGGCGAGAGCGGTCAAAATACTTTATCAACAGTAGAGAAGCTTCCCGGCGGGATGATAGCTCAGTCAACGAAACGGAAGGTCAGATTCGCTGCTGCAAGCGAGCTAAATGATGAACGGGATGAGGAGGGCGAAGTCTCCAAATATTTCCGGAAGAGCACAAAATCGTAGACATACTTGTCCAAAAAACCGCGCTCCGGATGCGTTCAGGAATAGTGGCGGGGGATAGGGGTCTACTCTGACGGGTTCGGGACGTCCCGATGACGAGCCACGGCCACATTGTGGTGGACGGCAAATATCCACCGGGTAAGCGAGTCGGCTTACCTAACCAGGCAGCCGTGATATCAGATTCGCGATATTAAAATACATTTCTTGCATGAGGCTCGCCTACTTCAATATTAGTAACGACCACTAGCTGCAGGGAATCTGGAGCCTCACTGTGTTTTGCTCAATGAAAACTCCCATCTCATCGGCATGATCCATTAGGTCATTGACGCCTAAGTGCCAGTAAACCTCTCGCTTGTTGGAGTTACTAAAATCGAAATCCGGTAGACAACTGATACTCTTGACGGCGCCGCCTGGGCCACGCATGGACTCGGTGTTGACGATCCCGTCGTTCTGGTACCAATCTCCAAGATCCGGTCCTAGGAGATCCTTTTGCGCCTGCGTAAGATCTTGGCCTCCCATTGCGTAGACACTTAACAGCATTATCGGTATGACGTCCTTTCGCGGAATGTACATTCCGGGCTTTGGAAGTACGAGATTGTAACCCGTTTCTTGGAGAACCCTAGTTATCACTTGTTGAGTAATCCACTGAACGAAAGAGTGGAAACTGGTTACCGTAGTGAGGAATCTCCACCCAGCGTTAGTGAATGCGTCGATTATTGCCCCTGTCAGCGCCCCAATGATTGGGAAATTTCCAGTTACTCCCCGCACGAAACTCTCAATACTGGTGGGAAAGGAGTCAATTGCATCATTGCCCCACACCGGCCAGTCTTTGGGGAAAGGAACTGTTGCATGGAAGGATAAGCTGAAGTAGATGATATGCGGCGAAGTATTGATTGTATGCTGGGAAAGAGCATAAACCCCTTCAATACTGTTGTCGTAAAGACCGTTATTGGTAGAATTTAACCATTTCCACACGGGGCCGTTGACTGATTCCAAGCGGAGGAGCATTTCCTGGAATGTTTCTCCCGGATTTCTGCGTATTCCCCAGTGGTCAAGCTGAAGATCATAAGGCCTTTTCTCTGGGGGATAGAAGGATGCTGTAGCGAAGAGTCTTGCGACTAGACTGACTGCCTGTTTCCTTGATCGCTATTTATCTTTCGTGAGTCTTTAAAGGCTTGACAATTGCGAGAACCGAGGGATTGAACACATACGGAAAGAAAACTTTCGAGCGTATCTATATAAGTCGTTCCTCTATGAGGGGTCCCAAGGGTTGTGACAGAGATGATCCAGTTATCTCTCCCTGCCTGGCCAAAGTATGCGGGATGCAAAATCCCAGCCGCCCTGGCCATTAAACTGATGAGGTAGCGTACTGTGTTTCCACCCTGAGAGTGGCAAATAAAATGAACTTTGTGGTCTTTGTCCCACTTCCAGTCGTCGGGAAAGGTTGAGTTTGGGAACAGGACTGCTCGTCTTCTATGACTGGTAACGGTTTGCTCGGGGGCGTGAGCTGGATCTGCAGCAAAATGATTGCCGTAATCAACGTCTAGGTCATATTGCTCATCAATCAAACCCGTCGTTGGGTTGATCGTGCTAAATCTAATTGCAGTTAGCTAAGAATATTGAAACGGGTTTAATGAAACACACCTCCCGCAAGTTAGCTGACTGTATAGCTCACATGCACGTTCCCAGTTGGAAGAGAATGGAGCCACTGGAGTAACAATGACTGTATATCCTTCTTCGACGAGGAGCTTCGGGACGTTAATCACACCACCGAAGTAATTGATGGCACCAAATAACGGTGCGCCCCAACCCAAGAATCCAGGTACTTTAATACGTTGTTAGCTATGTTCGGGAACACTTGCAACCACTCACCGAAGACAATCGGTACTGATGTATTAGCAGTTGTAGTTTTTTTCACTTCTTGAACGAGGTTGCGCAAATTGATAAGCCCGTCCGCGTTGTTAAGAGCTACCATTGTAGGATTCGGTTTAATAAAGAGAGCTTTATATTATTCAGATATCCGTAGTAGAGAATGTGTAGTGAGAATAGGGGCTTATGGTGGTAGCATTTGGACTCTTATATCCTCGCTAAAGGCTGAATATGTTGAGAGAAGTTTCACATGCAATCTTAGTCGGCTGATTCTTACAATGTAATGACATCATGTATATTTCCAGCAGGTCTGACGATGGGCTGGTGACAAAATTTAAGTGCTACAGTTGCAGACTCACAGGAAGCTTTGAAAGCCTCGTTTGTTGACCAAAATGAACCATACCTTTGAAATGGCAGTCATTATTACATGCTCAGCACATCTTTGGGTATTTGTGAAGTCAAACTTATTAAAAGCGTGAGCTCAAGGGTGATATATCTCTACCAGCGACCCGACTGTAGCCTTTCGCGAAAGATTCTGGCATCATTCATGCGCCTAAATGATGCATGCTGAACACTTGCCCTGCTGATGCTCCAATGAAGCTCCCTCTGTGCTTGTTGGCTAGCCGCTTAGCTGCCTTACCCAAAGGATGTAATGTACAACCAAGCGATGTCTCTTCAAAGCTTGGAGAAGCCAGAAAATACTCGCAGGATTTTGAGTCCGTGTGTGGTTGACTGTATCTTTCATTTGTACAAAGGCCCATTTTTGAACATACTGATATCGGACACGAGCTACCAAGAAATATGCGAATGGGCCGAATTGGACGAGACATTTCGAGGGAAATTTGGCCATCGATCCACATTACAGTGTCTCACTGCTTCGGTGTTGGAAGGCAACTTTGGATCAACCTTACGTGCTGCGATCAACGGAGAACTAGCCCCTTACAAATCTGTCTTGAGTGACCTCACTATTTTAACAATTCATTGACCGATGTGGATGCCGGGATATTGTTGATACCCATTATGCTCACCCCAGGAATGCCAAACCTTCTTAAGCTCAACTTTAGATGAAAGCGCCTTTTGGAGAGACGCAAAGGTTTTCTTTGCCTGCTCTACGCTTTAGGTTGCGAGCCATTCGTGATTGAGACAGTGTCCTATATCTGAAATTGGGACTGAGGTCGGCAGATTCCAGCAAACTAGTCCGAAAATTGCCGCTATTATTCTCTAGCCATAGCAGATGAGGCTTCAATGATAATTTCTTACTGACACGTCCACCACCCATACCAAGAAACTAGCTGATTTCCGCAAAATTCCCCATTGCCAGCTGGTTGCCTCTCCGATTTGACACCTTCAGCCTTATACCACAACCTGCACCTGAAGTCTCGCTGCCTCATTGTAGCAAAACACACGAGGTATTCTAGAACTACGGTGGCACTGCTATATAAAGTCAATAATCCTGTTTCTGATGCTCGACCATCCTTTCCAGGGAACAGATTAAGTGACAAAATGTCCCTAGTGTGTAGCAGAGGAGAAAAGAGATGGAGATTTGGTGGAATGAGTCTTAGGTCATAACCATGATGTTGACGCCGCAGCTTGGCGTCACCCTTACGGAAAGCTTCGAGATTTTATCCTTGCTAATGGATTACGCTCCTGGTTCTATAGCTAATCATGATAAACTATAAGCCTGGGTTTTTATGGTCATTAGACACGATTGCTTCATGTCTCGGAATTTTCTGTTACACTAGCCAGCCTGTTAGCAAATGATGACGATGGGCGGACCTGTCAGACAATAGTTACGTTTGACTGAGGATTTTATTATGCGGCCTCACGTATGGGTGGTCCCTAGGTCCTTGACGGCATTCCAACCCCAGGCGATGGGCTCACCGTGCGTCGCGGAAAATGCCTGGGTGATATCCCGCACGGCAGGGACGTCTCTCGCTCTATACGGCCGCATGGACACGACGAAGGTGCTTCCGGTGAAAACGCCGGCGGGACACAGCGGTATCGTAGTGCGATACATTGGCACGACAGACCGCAAGTTTCACGCTCTCGGTTCCGCCCTAGAGTCTCGCACCTGAAACCTAGGATCACTTTTGAACTATCTAATGGTGCTCTCACAATCCGGGGTAATACATATTGTCAGTTTTCATTATTTCCACCCCGTTTCCAACTTCGTGGTGCTCCTTGCCGAATGGTTGATTTTCCCTTTGCTATATAGGCGGTCTCCGGGATCGGAGATGGACAGTATCCGTATAGCAGGGTCTCGTGTTAGAAATAACCACTGCGGCAAAAGGTAGTTGTAGGTGCCCCTTATTAAGGGCTATATTCCGACATCTCGGGCTACTCACCGGAATCTGTCCAACATTTTGCCCCGCTAAGCCTAAGGCACATCAGCCCCGAAGCATCAACCCCGCCAAGCCAAACCCAGCACCTACAAAAGCTGCTGTCACAATCAATCAAAGCAGTATGTCAATTGCTCACACTCCATGATACAAACTCCCGGCTCACGCTAGATACAACAGCATGGCAATTTATCCATTCCATCCCATCGGCCGGGAAGATTTTGCTTATTTCACTGTTTTCCCAAGTTTGTGGCGCTCCTTGCCTAGTTTTTGGGTTTCTCGGCTATATAGGTTTGGTCGATTTTACGGCCCTGATTCCTGGTTCTAGTCCAAACGAAGTGGGAAGCAGGGACCCAGTATCTGGATATCGATAGAATCTGTAGTACAGAGGTCTTAGGCCACTTATTCTAGTAAAGCAATCTCTCTCTGAACATCTTCATGAAGCTGTAACTATATTTAAATACCTATATCAGTCCCAGCAATTAGCTCTTCTTCGCGCATATGGGATTGAGTCGAAGTGCCCGGTATTTCACCACCCGCAGCCATCTCAGCAACCCTGCTTACCCGGGTGCACTACGAAAAGCGGTATCTTATCTTGTCGACTTGTCTGCAAAAGGCTATCCCGTGTTGGGGAAGATGTCGTCTTTGTCCCAAGAGGATTGGTTACAAGGGCAGGTGCGTGGTCATGCCCAAGGCAATAGTCCCCAAGGAGTCAATTCTCAAGGAGGTAGCTCCCAAGACGATGATGCCCTAGGTGGTGTTTTTCGTGATCTGGGGGCTGAGGAGGATGCCCTACTGGCAGATCCGCCGGCATGGCTTAAACCAATTCATCTGAGATGGCGACACCATTATTTACGGATACACATACGTAGTGGTATCGATAGCAATGATCCACCAGAGGATTTTGCTGATTATGGAGATTATGAACATGCGAAACTTGCGATTCACACCCTATTAGCTAATCCACCACCGTGGCTCAAAAAGATCTATAGATGGAGCCGTCAGCAGTATCTAGAGATACGTAACGAGAGTGCTCTAGACACGCTTCGGCTTCACGAAATCGTTAACAATCCACCACCATGGCTCCAAAGGATCCCAAAGGAACACAGATTTGAATATTTATGGATACACAGAGAATCTTCTATCATTGCTGAGGATAATGACCTCTCATTGGAACCTGCTCTAGATAACTTAAACGACGATTCGATTGATGCACTTCTAGCTAATCGCGATCAGATGCCAATGTATCTTCAAGCCATTAAACCATCTTGCCAACGTAACTATTTATTGATACACCAAGCGAGACGTGCCGCAGACCTTCAGAGTGCCTCATCACGACCTGCGGTTCCTCAAGCACCTTCACTTGTTTCAGCACGATCGGGCGTAATAACACTAACGCCTTCACGTTCCCAGGGCGGCGATTCCCCGGCTGGTGGTTCCCAAAGCGGTGACTGGCAATCGCGATTGCTTGAGAGCTGGAGGAGCCTAGGTGGTGGTATCTCTCACCAAGCCCATCACAGCAATTTGTAGCACCAGCGCAGCTTCAAATAGACCGGCAAGCATAATTCGCAATTATCATGACAATTTCCTCCATCTGGCTGGGCGTGAGCACCTAGGGCCTAATAATAAAATAGGGAATCCAGTTAATAAGAACCCCAAACAGTAGCAGCATGTAGTGGGTTTGCTTGAAATTGGGGAAATGCTTGTTGTCTTCATGAATCTACTCGAGTTTTTGATTCTCTATGGAAATTCTTGCTCCTATTTACATTTTCATAGCTGCATATAGCGGTCAGTTAAGCAAATGAAGCATTCCTAAACCATCTTTCCCGCCTTTAACGTATCGCATTAGTATATGGTAGATCAACGTAGGATCAAAACATTAAGAACTCCTAATAAAGCTTCAATCTCTAGCTGCTTAAATATATATTTAAAGGCAAAGTCTGGGCATATAAATAGAATATAGTTATTAAAGCTTTGTTTTAAGAAGCTTCTAAATAGATTTATCTAATAGTAGTTTAAAGCGGGTATTTTAACAGCTTTTAACGATAATATTAGCGGGGTTCTATAAATTATATAAAGTGAATAAGTAAGTTATTACCTATTAACTATAGCAATATATACAATGAAACGCTTAATCTTTAATTTATTTAATAAAGATAGGTTTAACTATAATAATATAATTAGCTTATATTAAATTAAAACCCTTTTTAAAAATTTAAATAATTATAATTAAAATTAAAGGATCTTTAGGATTTTTATTTTTCTATACTTCTTTATTTATTATTTAATAAAATAAAATATAAAGTGCTTTATACTTTAATAATAAATCTTTAATAAAGATAAATGTTTAATATATATTAAGGAATTCCTTATATAAAATAAAGGTAATTAAAAAGGCTATTATAAATAAGATTATAAAAATAATTATCTTTTTTTATAAAATATAATAAAGGTTTAATATATTTTTATATTATTTTTTATTTTTAAATATTTCTTATACCTTTTAAGTAATAAAGCTTATCTTTTAATTTTTATTTTTAATTATATTAAAATATAATTAAAGTATATATTTATAAAGATTAATATTTAATATAACATTTAAATTACCTTTAATATTTTAAGATTAAAAATATAATAACTATTTATAAAGTAGCATTAAGGTTAAAGTTAAAAAGGTAATATATAATTTTAATTTATAAAAACTGCTTTAGCTTTTAAACCTTTTATTTATTTTTAAAATAACATTTTTTATTATAAATTAAAAACTATATATATTAAGGTTAAATATTTATTATAAAGTTAATTTTCTTTATAATTATATATTTAATTATTTCTTTAATATATTAATAAGCTTTTTAATATCTTTAAAGTATATATTAAAGAAATTAAAATATTTAATAATTTTTAAATCTATTTTAAATAATAGAATAATTAAAGAATTAAAAAATTTATAATAATTATATTATTAAATTATATAAAGCTTTAAAACCTTTTTATTAAATACTTTATATATAAAAAAGCGTTATTTATATATAGTATAAATTATTTTATTAATTAATTTTATATTACCTTTATAGTTAATAAATTAATTACTTTTTTTTACCTATTTATTAAAATCTTTATATAGGTTATAATTAAAGGGCTTATTTTAATCCTATATAGCTAATAAGGTAATAATATTAAAGAATAACTTTAAGGGATATAAATTATAATAAATTAAGGTTTTACTTATATTAATAAAATATATAAATAAAGTTAAATAATTAATTAATTTATTTATAATAAATCTTTATATTATTATATTTTTAATAATTTAATTATAAGCTTTATTTATAATTATTTAATTTAGCTTAATAAAGAAAGGTTTAAATACTTTTATTTTATTATTAAGCTTAATAATTATAATAGATTTTTTTTAAATCCTAATTAATATAAAGGAAGTTAATATAATTATAATAATATAGCTATTATTTCTTATTTCCTTTTTATTTAATTTTAAAAGTATTTTCTTTAAATTAATAATATTTTATTTTTAATATTATTAATTATTAATAATTTTATTTTATTAAAGTTTAAAAATAAGTAGGAATTTAATTTTAAAATATATATTTTATATTATATTTATAATCTTATTAATTATTATATAAATAAATTAAATCTTTAACTTTTAATTACCTTTAAATAATAATATAAAAAAGATATACTTATATAATTATTAATATTATTATTTATAAAGCTTAAATAATATAAAGATTATAGTAAAACCTTTTAAAAGTAATTTTAAAAGTTAAACTATTAAAAGTTATTTAATATAAAAATAAGTAAAACTTTTAATATATATTCTTAAAGGATATTTAAAGTTAAAGCTTTATAGGTATATTAATATACTTAAAAGTAAATAATAATCTTTTTTATATTTCTTATTTAATTTAACATTTTATATTATTAAATAAATATAAAAAGTAAGAATAATTTTATATAAGCTTTTAAATATTTTATTAATACTTATATTATTAATTAATAAAATATTAAAGGTCTTTTTAAAGTAATATATAAAGAAAATATAAGTAATAATTTAAAGTTAATAAAGTTTAAAAGTAAAATTAAAACCTTAAAAGTAATAATAATATTTAAAGTTAATAGAATCCATTTTAATAAAATTATATTTAATAAAAGTATAAATAAACTTTTAAATTTTTCGTTTTATATTTTTATTAAAATTAATAAAGGTATTTAAAACTTATCCTTTAAATAATTTATTTAAATTATTAATAAAATTAATAATCTTTTAAATAATATTTAATAAATAATAACCTTTATAAACTATTTTAACTTATAATAAAGTAAGTTAAATTAAATATATTTATTATAATAAAACCTTAAGCTTAAAGTAATAAATATATTATTAAAATAAATAAATAATAAATATTTAAGCATTAAAAATTAAATATAATTAATTAATAATAAAATATATAATATAGTTTTATTTTTATTATTTATTAATAATTTATATAATATAGTTTAAATTATAATATATAATATAATATATTTAATATTATAAATATTAATTAATATTTAATTAATTTAATAATATTTAATTAATTATATTTATTAAGTATTAATATTATTAATTTTATTTATCTTTATAATATATAAATAAATAAGATTAAATAAATTAATAAAAATATAAATATATTTATTATTATTAATATAATTATAAACTTAATTTTAAATTATATTAAAGCTATATATTATAAAAAAGGTAAACTTTAATTAGCTTTTATAAATAAATACTTTTAATATATTTTAAATAATTTTTAAATATAGTAATTTAATGAACTATAAGCTTATAATAATACTTATAACTTTTAAGTAATATATTTTAAAATTATTAATTAATAATATATAGCTTAATAATTAAATATAATAAAGTAAAGTAATAAATATTATTATTTATTAATATAATAAATTTATAGCTTAAGCTTTTAAAATAATAAACAATATAAATGGAAATTAATATTAAGTTAATATATAATATAAAAGCATAATAATATAAAAGATAAAGAAAACTTAAAAATATATTAATAGAAATTAAAAGGTAATATATAATATATATATAAAGTAATATATATTATATAAATTTAATTATTATAAGTAGTAAAAATATATTAAGCCGTTAAAATAATATTACGTTAAATGTATCGATGTATGGTACGTTGGCGATAAAAGAGGAATCTTTACGTTAAGGCTATATATGGGCTTGCAGAAAGGTAGTAGAGAAGTGGGTGTAGATGGTTGTTACGGCAGAGATAAGAGAGAGAGAGCGATACGGGTTAGCTTGCTAGCTTACAGGTGGGGTGGAGCAGGGGACCGGCCTACAGCTTGGCACGTCGGTGGGCGGGGTTATCTAGACGAGCGCGCTAATTCTCCGCGACGAAGCAACATGGCATCCTACCCCGCCATCTCCGACAAGATCATGACATAATTACACCATACCTATGTTTTCCTAAGCGAACCATAGTGATAAATTACGTTGTCTCTATAGTTGACCTGCGAGTCGATCAATTGATAAATCAGGTGTCTTGAACTCAGCCCCTAGCAGAGTCTTCATCGGGCTCCAAACTAACCCAATTATAGCCAGTTTGGTACCCCTGGATCCGCTCGGAGGGTGCAGGTCACAGATAAAACCACCTACTCAATCAGAGTCTTTCTGCCCTGCTATGCGCCGCAAGATGACTCGCCCGACCACCTGTCCTCCTCCAATATTTATCCAACAATTCGGGCGCGATTTTCTGAAGTTTGCTTTCGGACTCCATTGTGGTTTCGTGGGGTTCGCTCGAGTGGCCAACCCATTGAACTTCGAATTGGAAGCCCCCGCGGCGCATCTTGTGGCCCAGAACGTTGAAGACGTGGTACATCTCGGCCGGCGGATTTTCAGGCTTGTAGAAGAGCACACTTTGGCGTCCACCCTGGGTCTCCCAATACGTGTATAACATCTCTCCCGCTCCCCGCTGGATTTCTTCTTCCGCCTCCCATGTGACATCTCCTTCGCTCTCGCCAACCCAGTGCACTAGCAATTCAACAGTGCCACTTTGGTCGCCAGACATGCGATGTCGGAGCAGGTTGGCTATCTCACGTACTTCTCGGTCGTCGTAGTCGCTGTCTTCTGCTTGATTAGACGAATTGGGCCCGATTTGATGTGCCTTATCTTTGCCCCTGAGGCAGGATTCGTCGACAACATTCGCTGAGGGCTTGGTGGTAGGGGGCTGGTTAACTTGGCTGTTTGCCGTTGGGTTCGTCTCTTGTTGGTTATCACGTAAGGCTAGATTCATGCCGTCCTCTGTTAGGATCGGCAACGCCTCTAGCTGTTTCGTCGCGGTATGAGTCTCATAGCAATGTGATGGGCGTGAAGGAGGTGGTGTTTCTGTAGAGCTTTCGACGTTGGAATTTGGATCTTGTCCAAGTACTGACGCGACTGATTCGACATCGAAGCTCCTCTGTGGTTCCGTACTCTCGGCATCAAGGCGAAGCGGTGGTGATCCGCTAGCGACTGTTCTCAATCTAGACAAACTCGGGCTAGCTAGCGTCCGGTAAAACTGGATGACTCGAGGATGAGCGATGACTTTGCTCTGCTTGAAACCTAGCACTTGGAGGCCATCTTTGCTGACCGCTCTGCTGAGCGCAACATATGCCTGGCCTTTTTCAAACGTTCTCTCTAGGTCAACCTTAACTCGATATAAAGTCTGACCTTGAGCCTTGTGAATCGAAAGAGCCCATGCCAAAATTAGCGGCAATTGCCTACGCGCCGCTCGAACCTCCCCTGTAGGTGATTCCACTTTCCAAAGTTCCGGTGTACAATGAAGAATGCGACCAGTCTCGTCTGCTCCGTTGAACTGTACGACCGGATATTCATTAAACCGTCCGGCGGGTTCCGGGTCTTGGCTAGACGGCTTAGAACGGGTGTCTGCCTGGTTTACCGAACAAAGTAACTCGTCGTTTGCCTTCCTAGCGTCAAACATGGCCTTGCTCATGAAATTAATCACTTTCCCAAGTGATCCGTTCACTAATGTATCATCCACCTTCTTGATCAACATGACTTGGGCACCTACTTTGAGGTCAAGAGCTTTAGGCGCCATTATATTCGCAAGCAGCTTATTCCGTAGTTTTGGAACTCCTTTATCATAAGCTTCGTAATGATGCGTCTGGCCAGGAAGTCTGCCAAGCCGCGATTCATTTGCTTGCGCGACCTCGCGGCGAGTTGGGAACCTACTATTCATTAGTTATCACCTATTTTGCAGCCATAATAAGATGCCTACAGTTCAGTGACTTCAATACCATCGTCAAAGTTTAATGGCCGCGAAAGACGTTCAAATTCGTGAACGGTATCACGACTAATAGTCCCAAGTCGTATCTCGTTGAGCATGTTGGTAAATTCTACATCGCGTTAGTCAATATTAAATTATGTTTGGTTAACTCCAAGATTGCACTTACCAGGATCTCGTTGACGAAACACCTGCGTCAAGCCGATTGTGCAATCAATGCAAGGGACCCAAGCAGCTGAATCAAAGGCAAACCTGACCTCTTTTTGATGGCCATCCGGGACAGGCGGTAGTTGAAAGAAGTCGCCTGTCATGATCAGCTGAATGCCACCGAACGGTCGGGTGCTCTTTCGAATAGCGCAGGCGAGCTGCGACAGCTTGTCAAACAGATCGCCGTCTACCATAGATATTTCATCAATGATCAGAGCGCTAGTATGTAGCCATCTTTTTTTCGTCTTATGGTTCTGACGAACCTTTTCCACCAGCGTTGGCAAATCTTCTTTCCCGAGACCAATTCCAGCGAAACTGTGAAGAGTCTGGCCGCCGATATTGCAGGCTGCCAGACCCGTCAAGGCCGTTATGCCCAAGCGCTTCGGATCATGAACCCACCTCTTCCTGAGCCCTGAGATGATGGCTCGCATCAATACCGACTTCCCGGTACCAGCTGGACCAGTAAAAAATACGTTTCGTTTCTTGTTCATGACTAGATCTAGGACGTACTTTTGCTCCGAGTTGAGAGTGATCGTAGAAGCATCAATGTGTTGGCTTCCATGTCCTTCTGATATAGTGGCACTTTGGTTTGTGTGCCACGGCAACGTGGTTTGCTTCCAATTTCCCTGTCTCCCTGCCTTGGGCAACTTCTCTCGAGCAGGATTGCAAAGATCAGACACGAACTGTTCTGGCAATTTCCGCTTCAAAGTTTTATGATTTATAGAGGGTAAAAGGCAATCATCTTTCAGTTGTAACGATATAATATGTCTAGCAGGTGGTATGATAGTAATACCATGATGATGCTTCGATGCCGGAGGTGGAGGGTGTGGCACGGCCTGATTTTCGCCGTTTGTTGCTCGCTGGATATGAGTTAGATTAGAGTTCGTCGAAGACGTGAACTCCCACGGTGGTTTGTCGCTGTTCAAATGCAGCTGCGAAGTCATGTTGTCTGTTTATTGTCCTAGATAGCAACAAAGATAAAGTAGGAAATCCGTTTAATGAAATACAAGAAGCTGCGCTCTGAGCCCGAATAAAGGGAAAATATGATGGAAATGATTTTAGCAACCTGGTATAGTTAGTCCTTTAATTGAACTGGAACGCCTCATTGAGACGTATTGATTGGTGCCTATATAATAAATGAGGCAATCATCTAGTGCGCAAATAATAATATAAACCGAGGTTGGTCCTGGTAATACATTGTGTCGCATTCATTTCCCGGGTGTAACTCGACTACACCCGGTGCTAAGTATGTGATACTGGTAAGACATCTCTGCGTTTATAGGGATTATCAATCGGTCAACTATTGAGTTGGCGCACTGAAGGGAACCAGAGCCTATCGCCTAGCTAAAGGGACGCTCGGAGCCGCCACTGCGACAAGTAGCGTGCGTCTTCATACCTTTTCCCCATGAGCTAACATAGCAGTAGCCATCATGATTTTTCGGATTAGCCGTGGCTTAGTAGTGACTTTGTTGATATTGAGGGGTTATCCAAGATATGTATTTACCACTGGTACAATATTTGGTGTCTTACCAGCGACTACGGTGTACTAAACCTGAAGGTGATGCTACCTGCCAGACCTTACTACTGAGCTAAATGACTGGTAATCCATGACGGCGGCATGGCGTAACAAGAAATCATTGCCAATGTGCAGGGCTGCAATTACTTCTCCACCACTTTCGGCAAGCCAGATCACCGGTGTAAACCCAGTAATAGGAGTAGCCGTAAAGGGCCCGAGAGGGTGGACCTAAAGGCACGTGAACACGTAAAATGCCTAGGCCATGATCAAATCCCTCAGGAGTAATTCCTGGAAGAACAATACACAACACATGAATACCCCAATTATTGGGGGCTGGATAACCCAGGCACATTGTGTGACACGTAGAATACGCCTGCTGCAAGCTACACAATGCATGCAGGGCACTCCCTCTCACATAATTAGCCCTCGTTAAGATTGATTACTGATTGGAAACGCCGATCCCTGCCCTTAACGAGAATATTCAGGTCGCCTCATTCGGGCCATTGCCAACCATATCGCAGCCGCCTTGGATGGAAACCATTGATTCCGGAATGCTATATCTAGTTGTCGCATTTGGGTGTCTGGTAGTTGATCCTACCAGGAGGCAGGGGGCTGGCTGGAACCTAAGTTCCGAATCTGGGAGCTATCCCGGCTCCTGGGCATCTGGCCTTGTGGTCGAGGTTTGGGTGATCTAGGCATCATAACCAGCCAATTGGCTGCGGCGAGCCTCGGAAGCATCATTTCTTGGAGGCCTACTAATCGGACATGTCTACAGCAATGATAAGTGATAAGTCACGCCTGCCCCAGCCAACAGCCCTACGGGGTGCGTGGGTCGGATTCTTAGCATGTCATCTAGCCGATCATGTTTGCTAATCACCATACACAATCCTCGTATGATATCTACGCCCCCGCAGCGATCTTCATCGTTAGCGTGGTTCTGACGCTACATGGGCCCACTAGGCTCTTTGCTCGAAATATTTAGAGATACCGTAGATGACTGAGGACATAGCGGGCTCTCGCAGGAGCGTAATGCCATCTATTCAGCTCAACAACGGAGCAAACAATTTAACTATAATCAAAAATAACACGACACGATAATGCCGGACAGAAAAACTTTTCACCATCGAGAATACAGTTGTTGGTAGAGGATCTTCTTTTTAGGCTTCGTCTTGGAACCCATTTTCCTCATGCCAGACTCTAGGAAGCGAACGGCTTCGACCGATCGTCGAGACGCCATTATGCGCCCGGTCAAGTCATTGATCCCAAGCCCACTACAAGATGATACGGGTTTCGTCGACGTCAAGTCTGCTGACGAGCCTCCCTTCGAAGACGCTTCCTTGCTATGCTCAGGTTTCGCGTCAGATGCGTGCTAGAGTATCGGCAGCACCGTTCCGAGCCAGTCGCCAAGGGAGCAGTGGCCAATATTCCCGCCAACCACACCCACTGTCATTCCCCAGGAGTCTCCTAGCTGCCGAGACTCCAGCAGTCTATCGCCCTCCCCCTTGGACAGTAACATAGCCAAGGCCCAGTTTTGTTTATCTGGCCAGTTGTCACACGGCCAAGACTTCAGAACCGAAGATAACCGATACTATCCCTAGCAGGAAGTGAAGCTATAAGCGATTGGATGAGAACAATCTGTTAGCTACAAAAGAACCAACAGTCAAGGCATGAATGCCCAACAGAAGGAGGGGAATCATAGATTGTATAAGGCCTAAATGAACATAAATAGCTAAAGAATCTCCCACTTTAAAATAAAAGAAAAAGGGAAATTAAGGCCTTAAAGACCCCTAATAGATTATTAATAAATATAATTAAGCTTTAAGCCCTTTATAAAAGCTTTTATTATAAATAATTTATTATCCTTCTTTAGAATATTTTAATAATAGCTTAAGCTTTTATATAATAGATAAGCTTTAATAACTTTTTATATAATATTATCTTTAATTTAAATTCCTATAAATATAGAATTACTTTAATAGGATATTTACTTTTCCTTTAATGTATTAAAGGAATTTAAAAGTTTATACCTTTATATTTAATAATATTATTTATTATACCTTTAATACCCCTATATAAAGGATAAAAAGTAATTAATAAATATATTAATTAAAAGCTTTAAACTTTTTTAAAGCTATAGATATACCTTAGCTTTAAAGCTTTAATTTTAATTCCTATTACTTTAAAGAATTTAATTTTAAATTATTAAAATCTATCCAATTATATAAAAACTATTTTAAGGATAAATAATGGGTAGATTACCTATTTCTACTACCTTATACTATTATAACCAATTAGCTTATAATAAGGAATATCTTACCCCTTAATAACCTATAGGTAAAATTAAAATATATAAAAGTATTAAGTAAATTATTTATTAATCCTAAATAAAAATTAATCTTTACCTTTAAATAAATTAAATTTTTATTATTATTATTATTTATTATATTTAAATTTATTTATTTTAATTAAATTATATTTTTTTTTTAAAAGATTATTTCCTTTAAAAAACTTCTTTAAATTTATTAATAGATTAACTTTATAATAAATATCTTTAATTATAATATTTAAACCTTTTTTTAATATTATAAAAATTATTCTTTATAACTTTATTATTTATAAAAATATTAAAAATATAAAAATAAAATATATAAATATAATAATTTAAAACTTTTTTTAATAAATTATAAATATTTATAATTAAATAAATAAAACTTATTAAAGTATTTAATTTTTATATAAATATAAAATAAAAATATCCTTTAAATAAAAAAATATATTTTAAAATATTTATATAATTATTTATAATATATATAATATTTTAATTAATTTATATAGGATAAATATTTAAATAATTAAAAAATAAATAAAGTATTTTTAATATAATATTATTTAAAGAAATATTACTTTTATTTAAAATATATAAAAAATTATTATATATATTATATAAAATATAAACTTTTAAATTAATATTATT